CGCCCCCCCCCCCCCCCGCATCTGTGCAGCTCCAGAGAGGGCCAGAAACCCAGTAACCCAGACCCTCAGGTTCTGAAGTGAAAGCGCCCAGCCCCTCGACCGTAGGTGCATGACGGGAGGTAGCTCTGGAACTCTGTGGTCGGCCCTGGCCCTGGCCCTGGCCTTAGACTGTCGCCACTGGACGGCCCTGGACCAGGTGGCTGCAGACAGCAGAAACCCATCCTCACGGAGGGAGCAGAGGTCAGGGCAGTGGCTGGCTGGGGCCCAGCCCAGTTTCCTGATGTGTGGACAGCGCTTCTCCTTGGGCCCGGGGAGAGGAGTGAGGGGTCACCAGGGTCTCTTCGTAAGGGCACCAGCCCCAACACTTCACCCCACAGGCCTTCCCGCATCCCCATGCCGATGAGGCTCCCACGAGTGGATCTGGGGCACGTGCAGCCCAGAGCCCCTCTCCCAGGGTGGCAGCTCAGGCTGACTGCGCCCTCAGGCCTAGCTGGAGGGCTAAGGCTGTGGTCCCAGAGCAGCCCGAGCGGGTTGCATCTCTCAGTCCCCCAGTGAGATGCCGTCCTCCCTGCAGATGGATGGTGTCTAGCCTGCTTCCTCGCCCCTCCTCGGCCGCGTGCTGGGAGGCACTTCTGCACGCGCACATGACTCTTGATATGGATGCAGTCCTCTCGGACTTTGTTCGGTCCACGGGGGCAGAACCTGGTCTGGCCAGAGACCTGCTGGAAGGTAAGCCCCCTGCGTGCCCCTGCGGCCAGCCTGGCGCCTGCACCTAGGGAAGGACGAGGTGACCCTGAGTGGGCAGCATGACCCACAGACAGGGTCTGGCTTCGGCCGCTGAGCGCACCGGGGTGCTGTAGCCAGGCCCACGGTTATGAGCTTTCCTGTGGGGTGCAGCCTGGGTCACCCTCTCTGTGAGGCGCACCCAGCACTGACCTGTGTGAGGTCCCGGGCAGCCAGAGTCTAGCCCCGACCTGCCTTCAGAGAGCTCTTTCGTGGGCAGAGCCCAGCCACCCCGGGGGCCAGGGCAGGACCCGACACCTTCTTCACTACCCTCCCTCCTTCCGCTCCTGCGCTCTCTCCCCCTCTAAGAAGTAAAGAAGGCAGACTCCTCCTCGGGGTCCCAGGGGCTGGGCCTCGCTGGTGGACGTTGGCCGTGCTACATGGAGGTTTCCTGGTGTCTGTTCAGGGCTAAAACTTGAAGGTGGCTCCCTCTGCATGCATGGCTCTGGGTATTTGGGGCGGCTCTCCCGTCCTGCTTGCTCCGTGGTGGCAGAAGAGCAGAGTAGAGTGGGAGGCGCCGTTACACCTTCTCGGAGGGAGGTGAAACCCAGTGTCAGAAGGCACACTGCTGTCTGTGCTATGCCCGCTCGAGCGAGGTTGTACAGCGTGACCAGTCTATGTCGCCCGGGGGGGTTCCTGAGTGTCCACGTAGGCAGAGAGAGCTGTGCTCCTTCCGGGACTAAGAACCGCCTATTGGAAGATTGTGAGAAAATGATAACATATGGGTTTTTAATTCCCCTTAGAGAACATCACGCAAATTCAAACATTAGAGTATGTTTGGGGTATTTCTTGGATTTGTAGGGAGAAATGCAGCTCTCACGCCCTGTAGTCATTCGTCGAACGGCTTCCCGTGGGTTCCCGGCTCCAGGTGACGGCCGTGGGTAAAGTGGCCTCGGGATGACGAGGCCATGAGAGAGCTGGTTCGCGTGCACTTGGCCCATGTCAGCCCACGTCAGTGCCGAGACCAGGCCAGGTCTCTGCATGTCCCAGAAGCATGGAGCTTTCTTCCTAAGCTGCTCCCAACTCACTTCTGGGTGCTTGGTGCTTCAGGGAACACGGGCGAACAGCGTAGTCCATGATCACAGTTTTAACACGCAGAGCAGGCTGGCGGGCCCTGTGCCAGCCATGTGTTTAACTGTGTAAGAAACGGCTAGTCGGGCCAGTGGTGGCCTGGGGGGTTACAGCTGGATCCCACAGGGCCGACCGCGTGGTTGGTTCCTGGACACGGCAGCTTGAGAAACGCGCTGTGTGCGTGCCCACAATCTCCAAAGGAGGGGGATGGAGGAGGCGGGCGGGGGCGGCCATGTCCCACAGGCCCCATCTCCTCAGCCAGTGCACACCCCTCTGGCAAATTTAAAAAGGGAAAGTCCCGCCGTGTCCCGCCGTGCCCGGAGCGCCCCTCTCCCCGTCCCAGCAGTGCAGCGGATGGCAGCGGCTCTGCGTCCTCCCGGCAGGAGTCGAGTCTTGCTGTCTTGTCTTGGTTTATTTTGGAGGTTTTGGCCATAGGGCCTGTGTGCTCGTCTGAGAATGTGACAAACCACCCCTGGGGGGTGGCCACGCCAGTCCCCTCCCGGGATGTCGGGCACGCACACACACATGCCCAGGTCTGGGACCCGAACCGCGGTTGGCCACGAGGGAGTCCAGCCACGTAATGCCACGCCATCTGCTGACCCCATGCGTACATTCGTCATGAAACACCGGTCCTGGTGCTTTGTCTTCCTCCAAGCCCGAGGTTCTCCGTGTTCTGAGCGTTCTCTGTACACAGTGACCCGGGCCCCCGCGCTGAGCCTCACGCGCCCTCATGACCGTGCCTTTGCAGAGCACAGTGGTACATCGTGGCGTGGTCCGGTTTTCCTCAATGGACGTGCCCCAGGTGACAGGCCTCGGGGCCTCTGCGTAGTCCGCATTGTGGAGGCTGTGCGGCCCTGTAGCGAGGTCTTACTTCCACCCTGTGTGTCAGACCCGGGCCGTCTCCAGTTACTTTGTATGACAGGAGAGCCGGGCCGGGACCGTTTCACATGCACGCCTGTCCAGCAGCGTCAGCACCCTCTGTCAAAGCGACACTCCTACCCGAGCTGCCTATGTGGGCAGAGGCCCGTGTGGGCAGAGGCCCGCGTGGGCAGGGCTGCGATGGGCCTCCCTCCCATGGACCGCCACGCCGCTCCTTGCCAGGGCTGCCCCGGCCATCACCTCGCCTCTGCAGTGAGGCGTAAAGCCACAGAGCATGATTCTTCCAAATCCCACCTTCTTCAGCTGTTTGTCAGCTATTCTGTTCCCCTTGCCTTTTCATATACATTTTAGAATCAGTTTATCTCTGTAAAATGTCCTGCTGGGATCTTGATTAGAATTATGTTAAATCTATAAATCAGTCCTAATTGTGTTTTTGTCTTTTGTTAAAAAATTAGGTTTTGCCACAAGGTGTGTGAGCTTGTCAGAAAGAAGCAGAGAGAGGGGAAGTGAGAAACCTCCCCCAGGGGATGGCCACGCTACAGTCCCTTCTCCTCCACGCTGAGGATGTGGGCATGCATGCACCCCCGGGTAACTTTCAAGCTGCCAGGTTGGGGACTCGAACTGCTCAGTCAGCCATGTGGCGTCCAGCTGCCTTGACCTCCGCGCCACCTGGTGGCCCCTGTCTGTGCTGTCGAACCCTCCAGCTCCTGCTAGTGAGGAGGATGCCGGTCTGTAGGGACAGTGTGTCCTCCGTGGGCTGACTTACGTCACTAAGCATCTTGTCTCCAGTGACAGGAATCCCTGTTCTTTGTGGCCAGCTAGCACGAACCCCACATTTTCTATGCTCGTGGGGACATGGCCAGGAACCTCCCCCAAGTCCAGGTCATGGGACCTCTACCACGTGGTCTGCTGAAGGGTTTTCACCAGCCCACGGTTGGCACTTGGGCTCGCTCGTGTAAGTGAGGCCACTGTGAACACGGGTGTACATGCGGCTCATCCTCCCTCTCCACCTGTACGCCTTTTATTTCTTGGGCTTGCCTCCCTTGTTACAACTTCCAGGAAGAGGTGGAAGAAGAGCAGTGAGGAGGAGCACCCCCGTCTTGCTCTGGCGCTCGGAAAGCGGTCGCCCTCCACGGAGCACAGTGCGGGCAGTGGGTTCTCAGAGCTGCGCTATCAGTGAGAGACATGCCTTCCTCTCCCACCTGCTGAGGGTTTTATTACAGATAGGAACCGAATTTTTCCAGAATCCCTGGAGAGCGGAGAACGACCGTGGCGTGGCCATGCCCCTGGGAGTGAGTCGTTATTTTCTGTCTGTCTGTCTCCCTCTCTCTCCAGGGAGCACATGTGCCTTGTGGCAAAAGTAACATTAAAAAAAAAAAAAAACCCAAAAAGAAAAATCTTCATTTAACCAGTCCGCCTGGGTTAAATAACAAGTTTTATTCATATGTGTGTGCTGAGGATGAGGGAAAGGATGGCGGCATGACCATCCTCCCTGGGGGGTTATTTCTTGCTTTCTGTCTCTCTCTTTGTGTCTCTCTGGTGAGCACATGCGCCCTACAGCAAAAATCTCTCTAAAAAAAAAAAAAAAAAAAAACCAAAAAAGTTACATCTTCATTTCACCAGTCGCGCTGGTGATGTGATAAGTGAACTCAGTCATCCATGAAGAGACAGACCCCTTCTTTTCCAACCGCGTCACTCGGTACTTCCGCGTACACTGCCGTGGTCGGGCATGGGCTTTCCTCGAAACTGTTCTGGGCTGGGTTCGTGACTGCCTTCCGGCCCCCGCCCTGAGGCTCCCGGGCCAGGTGACCTGGGCTCAGCCTTTCTGAGGGGCCTGCAGCCCTGGCTGTGCTGCTCATTTTCCGTTTCAATCTTTCTGGTCATTTCTGGCCGTAAGGTCATTTCCGGTGACCTATGTATTTTTAAGGACTCTCCCCTCCGTTTCTCCATCTGGCTTTGAGTCCGTGCAGAGTTCCCTGTCCTAGTGGGTGGGTTTCATTGATAACTTTTCAGCCGGGTTCTCCTGTGTCCCGTCTGTCTGCTGAGACCCGCTGCACGTCTCATGGGCGCCCTCTGCTGGTGGGCGATGTAGTAGCGCCTGGTTTAGTCTCAGGTGCGCACGTCTGCAATTCCTGTGCGGAGTAATTCTGAACTGCAGCCCCCACGTGGCCGTGGCCGTGTGCCGCTGCTGCTCCTCTTACAGTGAATACCATCCTGTTTGTTTTAGAAGAGAATTGCTCCATTTGGGTTCAGACCACAATTCCAGCTTACTAAGACCCGGAGCACGGTTGCGACAGCGAGTCTTCCGGAGCCTTTGGCTCTGCCTCTCACAGCTGTCACCCAGGGGCTGCCTGGGTCTTTGTCGTGGCCCGTCCGTTCCGTACTGAGGTCTTGCAGTGCACTCAGGGTGAGCGCGGGGCCACTTCACTCTCATAAACCCACGGCCTAGTGCTAACGCGGCCGGGCTGCACGTGGCCAACCATGCACTTCGGGTCACAACCCGGCACCCGACAAACACCAGTGCGTGTGCGTGCCAAATCCAGCTGGGCAGAGATGGAGAAGGCAGCGCGGTGGGGCCACCTCCCTCTCTCTGGCCAGCACATGTATACACACGCATACTCTATCATGTTCTAAGAGAAAGGCCAGCCGGCGGTTGTTGGTTACAGTGGCTGGGTCCCACGTGGCTTACTGTAGAGTTTGAGTCCCAGACCTGGCAGCGTGAGAATTATGTCAGCATGTGTGTGGGGGGACACATATTTACACGCATACATTTATGACTTGAGGACTGGAACGCCGTTATCACAGGGAAACAGGCCTCTTCTTTGAGAGTACTTGGTTGCTTGGGAGTGAACTACACAGGGGGTCATCACAAACGTAGTTACATGTTCTGAGAAAACTGCGTGGCTTTCAAATGTTTTTGCACCAAAATAAACACGCATTGCGTCCCGTGAGGGCCTTGGAGGTCCGCACACAGTGTGGTGCACTCCTGGGCCCAG